CTTTCAACACGGGTCTAGTTCGGTAATAACTACCGTAACAACCAAAATATTAAACAAAAATTTTCCGTTTGTAAATCAACGCCAAACTATATTTAAACGATTAAATAACAAATACTTTAACACATCGAAAATTTAATGATCCAGGAACGATTATTTTATGAAATACACTTCGCTGATGCAAAAATACAATTCGTTCGAAACAAGAATTACAATGTAAAATATTTTCACTTATTTCTTTTTAAAGATATGTTATTACAAGTTAAATAAGAATATTAAGGTCATTTCTTTTCTACATCTTTCTTCCTTTTCAGGCATTAAATTGGGATACGTTCTCTTCCTGGAACCATTTCTTCAATTTTTTCTGTTTCTGGCTAGTTTCTTTAGCTCGATAAAAATTTACCTCTGTCATTCTTATCTCTTTAATCTGGCCCATCCAGTTTCTCGTTTCCTTTCTCTTGATTTTCTTATTTCCATTATTTTTCTTCTCAATATTCTATTCTTAAAATACCGACTAGCTTTAATAATGACCACCTTTCTTTTATTACTGCACGCGCCAAAGTAAGTTTGACGCGCTAGAGCACCAATACTGTCAACGTCAACTTTCTAGCTAGATTTGAATGTGTAAAAGCCTACTATAAATTAATCATTGGTTAGCTTATTTTACCATTTAGAATTTTTTTGTTTTCCATCTGGCATACTCGAAATATATGCTTTGATGCTTTTCCTTGTTAACCTGCTTCAGAAATTAATGATGACTACCACTCGTGGAAGTCGAAAGATCCCATTAAATATTCCAACCTTTACTGTAGCCGTAGAAAGTAAAACTTAATTATCTCCTAAGTTTGTTGACGTAGATGTAGGTTTTTATTGCAATAGCTAACTGTATACTTGTTGAAGAGCAACAAAATGTAATAATTTAGATAAAGTCTCTGATAAGTATCATCAAAAATGTCTATCAAAATTCAAAAACAAAAACCTATGATAAACAAAACAATATATATAGCATGTTGCTTTGAATAATTTGTAGATACCTACTATTAACTCCATTTTTAGTGTGAACAAAGTATGGTATCGGTTCCTCTTCTTCCCTTAATACTCTTGCAGGTTCCCATAACTTCGTACTTATATTTTGCATCAATTATTTCATCAAACATTATTTTTGACAATAACAAATGTTTTAATGTCACATTTGTTGCGGTCTCTATTTTAAGAGCAATTGCCAATCGAATGCTTCTAAACCTATTTTTGAATTTAATATACTATTGTGCACACCAACCTGCTTAACAAATCTATAGGGTAAAATATTTACTTCTGCACCCGTATCTAGCTTAAACAAGACTTCTATACCTTCAATGAGTACATTTTTATACCAGATCTTATACTATCAATTTAAATAGCACTAATAGAACAAGAACTTGAATTAGACGAGTGTACTGCATTAACTTCATTCTCTTCAAAAGTCTCTATTTCTAGGTTGTGCCCACGACTTGCACATTTTGGAGAAATGGTTTAATTTGGAGCCCTTATTTCCCATAACTATGCCGGACATTTATTGACGGCATCCAATACAGTTGAAACTTTTTACTCCTTGCTCCTTTCTTATTTAATGGATATTTTTCCCTTGATCAATTTGACATTTCTCTTGTGATACAACTTTTATATTAGTCTCAGGAGTGTCTGCCAGTTTATCCAATCTAATCTTAATAATTTTTTCTATTTTTGCAATTTATACCCATCGAACTTTAATCAGTTTTTCGTCTTGGTTTACAAAGCTGCACTGCATGATAATATGTTTTAAATCTGCATAAAATATTGCAAATGACTCACCGGGATCTTGTTTTCTTTAAAAGAAATTGTAAATACTCATAGTTTCATTAGTCCTTTGGACACAATAGTTTTTTAAAACATTTTCAGTTTCCTTGTTCAGGGTAGTTATTGACTTTATCTTGCTCTATTAGGTTTTTAATTTTACTATTTGTATATCTTTTGATTTTTGTCATTTTCTGTCGCAGCAAGGTATATACAGACTTCATCTTAGAATAATCTGAAATTCTCACATAGATTTCCAGATAAGCTCTATATATGCAACAATATTGCTGTATCAATGACTTATTCCATTCTTGATTCCATTCAAATGAGGACTAATCCTTTAATAACTCAAATACCGTATCTTTCCTATTTCCAAAAGCTTTAAAACAACCTAAATCTACAATGAAACTGTGACAACAAATTTCATTCGATTTTGTTGGCTAGCTACGACTCTTTTAGAGCAGTAATTGTAATCTAAAATCTCTTATAAATTATTACCGTCCGATATGTCATATGGCAAACCTAACACAGGCGAGAATAAAGTCAGATGTGATGGGATTTGGGACGCCACACTGAAACCGTGCGCCTCCCAAACGTGGCAGGAGATTACGGACGTAAATATTTCCATATACTCGAAGGTAAATAAACATATCAACCAGATGTACTAATAAATCAAACTTTATCGGTTGAAAAAGCGGTAAAGCAAATGTTTTTGTTTTAAGGGCTGCCAACAAGCCGGTCGTAATGTCTATGCGCCATTAAAATTGTCGCTCAACGTGAGATCGGGTTTTTGTTTTATATAAAAGTAGTGTTTAATATAAAAACACACTTCCTTAAGCCTCAAAATTATCTACTAGTTTCCCACAGTAAAAACTTTGAATTTAGAAATTATTAACATTATGATTTAACGTACCTAATGTAAATTATTTATCTTTTGTATGTCATTAAAATACAAAAAAGATGATAATAATAATGGATAAATTTTTGAACAATATTGAAACTTATAGAGTCCTATTACAATACGAAGAAAACCTCGTAACCAATATTTTAAACCTAAAACATGTATCATCTGTAACTTTTAATAAATAGAGAATAAGTTTTAAAAAAATATTTCCATTTTGCTATAGTATTAACAAGCTACTAAACCCAGTAGGCGGCTATTCCCAACAAGTAATTTCGCCAAGTACTGATGTAATTATGTTAGTAGATGAAATATCGTGCTGCTAGACCACTTTGTTAACATGTTGTCGTGTTTATTGAATTCTTCGGCTAAGAGACGTTAAAGAAGTCTCTGGAGACTCCAAGACGAAGAAGAGAAGCCCAATATGTAGGTCCAGGGGAGACGTCAAAAGACCATCTGGAAACTCGAAGACGAAGAAGAGTTACATGACCAATAATAGATTCTCCAGAGGCTACTTCAACGACCTCCTTGGTTTTACGTCACTCCTACAACTCATGTTCTTCGTTTAAGAGTTTTCAATTGCTCTTTCTACTTCTCTTCTGATCCTGTGTTATTTCTCGGCTTCTCTTCTTCGTCTTCCAGTCTCCAGAAGCTTCTTTAACTTCTCTTGACCGAAGAATTCGATACCACAGTGGTCTAGAAGCCTATATTTCATCTACTTGTGTTCTTCTTATTATATTCCGAGCCTACCATGATTTTAGCTTTTAAAATAAGCCTGAAGAACTCTTGACTATTTTGTAGATTCTCAGAGCCAAAAACGTCTAATGTTTATTGTTATTAATCAAGTTTCAACATAAGAATTTTATAGATTCTGATATAATCGTTATTAAAAACTCAGGATCTTCTTTTCTTGCTATGCATTCTTTGTCTTTGTCTCCTGTTTATTATCATTCTATATTGCTGTATGTTTTAAACTTTATTTCTAACATTAATAACTGTTCTTTATCTTTTTGACAGTGAAATAAATAGTTTCGTGTATTAGTTTTATAGTGTTAATAAAGTTTTAGTAACCTTTAAAGATTCTATTTCCTGCTTTAATTCTTTCAGTGCTTCATTCGTTTTTATTATATTTTCCTATAAATTTATATTTATATAGATGGAAAATGTATTTCCTGTATTTTCTTCAGCATACAATAGATCAGGTCTATCGGCATCGTTGATCTCTTAGATTACAAAACCTTTCGAATTAAAGCGATGTTTCCCAATGCGGCCGCCTTGGCCGACTTTGATAATTGTGCCGATTTTCTACGCTTGAGTACCCAAAACGGCAAAAATTATGAAAAAAAAAAAACATTGCTTGCGCTATGTATGTAATTAAGGAAATCTTTAATGAAATTTAAAATTTATTGCCTGAAAGAATACTCGGCTAATTAAATTGAAAGTGAAGATTACACACCTTATGTTTCAATGGTTCGTTATCGTTACGAGTTTTATTAATTTTTATTATTGCGATGACCTTGGGTAATTTATTTATGAGGTGTTAGAAAATGCGAGGACTTCGAGAGCGTTTATGTTTTGTTTCTTCGGCTCTCACAGCTGCTGATACCACCTTTGTACACGATATATTAATGATAATAACAAGTGTTTCCACTTCAGCAATTTCTTAATGTACCTTAATCAGAGCTACTTTCAAAAAGTAGTAACAATAGCATTTTTAAAAAACAATTAAAAAAATCAGATTTTCACCAAACAAGTTAAAAGCAATATTGCTCATATTCTTTCAGAAATTATGTAATTATAGTACCTTTGGCAGTGGTACAAAAAATAATTGGAGCTCTACAAAATAGGTTACCTTCGGTAGTTATCTACATTTTTTAATACTATTTTAAGTATTTTGAAGAGAGAAAATATAATCGAATACACCTACTTTTTAACCAAAAGCGGTTTAAATACAACTGCTTTTTCTGAAGAAGTAGTTAAGAATGTAGGTAGTTGACAACCACCCCAATAACTGGATTTGTTTTAATTGCTTGATTGCATCATACATGCAACTCTATTTACCAAAGAAGGTTTAAGCTTGATAATTTTCATGTATTTAGTGTAATTAGATGCACAGAAGACCAGTATACATTACAACACTCATGCAAATAAATTTTATAATAAAACATTATCTTTGATATTGATGAACTCGGTTTCTTGTAGTAGTTGGGAAAAATATAATAAAAAACGTTATCCATATTACTATAAATTAAGAAAAAATCGATACTAACAGTAGCTTTCTTTGTTACAGACTAAGAAAAACAATCCGAACCACATCAAGAGGCCAATGAACGCGTTCATGGTGTGGTCGCAGATAGAACGTAGAAAAATATGCGAAGTCAGTCCAGACATGCACAATGCAGAGATCTCAAAGAAATTGGGTCGACGATGGAAGCAGCTCAACGACGAAGAACGCCAGCCATTCATAGAAGAAGCAGAAAGATTGCGTCAATTACATCAAAAAGAATATCCGGATTACAAATACCGTCCCAGAAAGAAAAGTACCAAACCGGCCCCTAAGACAAACTCCAAAAAGAGCAAGAAATCCCCCAAGGTGCACAAAAACGACACCAACAATAATACAGCCATAGCAAACGATAAAATTTTCGCCAGGCGTAGTGCAGTACCAGAATCGGTCGCATCGAAGCTGAAATTCAGGTTGACGGGTGTCGCTGAACAGAGGCAGATCAATAGGCTAGTCGAAACGCAACAGGATACGTTGAGACAGAGCATGCCATTACCTCCGATGAGCTTCCTAGCTAAAGTACCCTCAAGTCCTTCATGTGACACTCCCGACTCCCCGGAAAGTGCCACCATCTACGACGATACCTGGGTAAATCACTTCCCAACGGTAAAAGAGGAACCTGAGGATAGGCTACCGCATTCCCAGATAAGCACGGCCACCTTAGACGATTTAGATAGGATTGACGATTTGCTTCCGATGGACGGGATCGACCTGGAGGAATTAGCGGATATCGAAACGAATTTCGACACGGATTCAAATAGTTCCGGTTCGCATCTAGATTTCTCCTGCCCAAAAGACATCCCCATGTTCTCGAATATCGAGAACACATGGTGCGAAATTCAGAACGATGAATTTTTGTTGTAAGAGACTTTAAGACTGTTTATGAGATTTTACTGTGTGGGAGCACAATCACTGTTGAATATTTTGGGGTTGGTCCTCAATATATAGAACGATGGCCACATCGACAGTTTTTATATTGTTATAAATATTCTTAACCCCAATATTGATCTCATTTTGCGTTTATTATTTTTGTATTTATCATTATAACGTATTACCAGAATCTACCAGTTCTATGTAAGCCAGTCATTTTAGATGGAGAACGAATTTTGAGGAGTACCAATCGAAAACCACCATTACGCGTCTGTTTTCTTGTAAATAGACATATTTTTATCTGACAGCGTGTTCATTCGTACTTTAAAATTTATAAAAAAAAAAGAATTTATTAGATCCAGGGTTGGATATCGAGAAAATCTACTTCTCAGTTTTAATTGTATGAATGAAGCAAAATAAATTTCAAATCTGTCGAACAATCCAGAACAGAACCAATTTTAACCAAACAATTTTGTAACCTTTGTTATATATTATTTAAAATCAAAAACATACCAACGGCAATAAATTTGTTAAAAAACATTTTCAAAGAGAAAATATAAATATTTTTCAAAAATCATTACGAATTTTTATAATTTTTCGTATTATTAAAGAATTTAAATAAATAATTGTAACTATCTTTGGATTCAAATATTTTGTTATTTTAATTTGAAAATTGTAAATAATAATTTTTTCAACACTTTTATTGATTGCGATTTTAAGTAGTTTTTTTTTTGTCTGATATTATGAAACTAAAATTAATTATTTTGAGGATGATGATGATTATACAATAAACTTTAAAAATATTATTTTAAAGTTAAAGATACATTTTTAATTGATTATCCAACATATATTGACTTATAACCATAATTTAAAAATAGTAAGACGCTCAAAATTATGGAAAAATATGATTTTAATTAATAAACAGGTTCAAAAGTAATTATTATTCAATTATTTTTAGCAATACACATTAATGATAAATCACATACAATTACCGTCTCGTTAGGTATTAAAATTAATAATTATTCTCACCAATGAAATTAAATTGAAAATCAAATATATTTTTAATGAAAATGTTAATACTTTGTCCTCGAACCATATTTTTCTTATACCTCATTCTCAAAAAATATATAAATTAAGTGTCATCGAAAAAAATAATTGTTTGTATACATTTTTTGGTATAAATTTGTTTGCATACATTTGTTCGTATAATTTTGTTCTGTAACTTTGTTCGTATTTATTTGTTGGCATAAATTTGTTCGTATAAATTTGTTTGTATAAATTTGTTCATATAAATTTGTTCATATAAATTTGTTCGTATACATTTGTTCGTATAAATTTGTTCATATAAATTTGTTCGCTTAAATTTGTTCGTTTATACATCTTCGTTTAAATTTATTCGTATAAATTTGTTCGTATAAATATGTTCGTATAAATATGTTCGTATAAATATATTCGTCTAAATTTGATCGTGTAATTTTTTTCGTATAAAATTTTTAAATAATACACAAAGCCAGTATTTTTCAAAAAAATCATAATTGGTTCTGTTCTTGAGGGTACTCAAGTAAAAACTTTCGTTGACTCTCGATTAAGCCGCGGCTTGAAAATTAAAACTAAATAAAAGGAGTGGTAAAAAATTCTCGATATCCGATACGTTTTGTGGTTTTCGCGGTTTCAATTCTCTCTAAAATGATTGTACACGAATAGTGCCTAGCTCAGTACGTTTGTCGACCCCGGGTAGCCCGGCATTAGTTTTCGACTTTTTAAATACTGTTGACCTCATAAAATGGTAACAGAACACAAAAACAGGCTGTGATTCATCTGTTCGATGACCAATATTTAGTTGTCAAAAGTCCGTGTAGTCATTTTACTGTTGGTTCTGCTAGCTGCTTAACTTAAATTCAGCAACGTTGGTGTTAAAAAAAAGTTGTCGCCAAAAAGGTACGTACTCAATTTCAGCGAGAATCTCTGTATAAAAATTAAGTCAAATTCGATACCTTTTGAATTAACAGGGTATATATTTTGTAAATAGCGGGCGCGGAAAGCTGTGAGTTTTTTTGATAAACGCATACTTTTTGGCATATACTTACGTTCGATTTCGGGTGCATTTAGCCATGAACTTTTAGCATCGGGGCCTATTTCATTACATGATTCTATAAACTTTCACTTTGCACTCCATACTTAACATAAATTACGAAACTGTTGGTTCATAAAATATACGCTGCCCATCTTTTGAAGTGGATAATTCAAAAGGTTCCAGCAAACTTTTGATTCTTTTTCGAGCATAAAACTACCTTATAATATCTTTTATGGTAACTCAATTTGAGAATTTCACAATATCCACTTCAGAAGAACAGAAAATTTTTGATTCAACGATTACCAAAAAGTGGTCTACTTTTTTACTAGGTATTACCTGTGAAGTAGTTGTTTTCGATTTCTATACAACGATGTCAGCGATTTTCTTATTTTTAAAACTACACTATAATTAAAGGCTTTTTGCTGTAAAATAATCAGCACTTGTGACCTTAGATCATATTTAAGAGTCGTAGAACAATCTGCAGATTCACATCATCTTCTAGAGTCCTTGCCATCTTTGTTGTAATATAAGTATTATAACTAATATATTTCGTTTTTCAAGATAAGAACTGAATACACAGAATATTCAAATTCTCGAAAATATTGGGTATTTTCGAAATTATAATACTTGCGCTTGTCTCCAAACTGTTAGGCAAGAAAAGGAGTGCAAAGAAAAGTTTCTAGTATGATTTACTGAAAATACGTCCAAGATATTTTTACGTTTATACCAGTAGATGTACATTCTAGTGTTTTCGATTTTTCAATCATTTTCTTTTTTGTCGAATGAACTGAGCATGCGTGCTTTTTTATTCGAAAAACCATATTTATTATGCAGTCAGTTATTATCTATCCATTGCTTTCGATGTCATCTTCAAATATATCCTAAAATTAATTTTTATAAAAACGATCCATTAGAATCTAACGCAAGATCCTAATCCTGTTTCTTTTTTAATTTTAATATATTTTCCTCTGCTTTCGACTTTCTACTTTAAAGTTTGGAAATTTAATTGCAACTCCTACTGTTTCAAATTGGATTGCGTCTTCTTTTATCTGACCCTCTTTAGGCAACCAGATTGATTAAGACTTTGATACTTCAGAAAAAATATATTAAGATAAAAAAATTGGTTTAGGATCTCAAGTTAGCAGGGTTTTTATACTTCTTAATTTATTTCCTTACGGAAAACATTATTTCTTATTTACAATTGAATACTACAATTAATTCGTTCGTCCAGAATTGTACTTAAAAATAGCATTTCCGATTGTAAAGCTGTAAAAAACTCAAATCGAGCACTTGGGTGGTAGTAGTAGTAGAAATCGATAATCGATATTCGATATACAAATCGATAAAACTATCGATATTACAGTAGGCTAGGAATGTTTGTGCAGCTGTCAATTCGGGTTATTTGTTTATGTTTCAAAATGGGAAATTTTCGAAATCTCGTCTTTCAATCGTTCTTTGGTACGAAGCTAAACAAAATTTTGGCGATTAGTGGTACTTAAACATGTCTGCATTGGACAATCGATAAAAATTGTATGCCTACAGGATAAATATTCGATTCTAGTCGGTTGAAATTTTGTGCAGTTTTCTATCTGTCTTTTTATCCTAATAATGTCGGATGTTATTAAAAACTAATCACAATTGAATATAATTGTAATATTTTAATAAAAAATCTTTAATCAATTGTGATAAGTTATGTTAAATGCAGTATGATTTCTCTATGATGTTTATTAGTGTTTTATATTCAGAAAGTTAGGTTATGATGATCATTCTGTCGTCTGCTCGTAAATCGGTGGTTTTACGAAACATTTTTACAATAGTTAGTTCTGTAATTAATCATAGAAAAATCATCAACGACATAAAAAATCCGGTGTAAAACATTTTTTTTTTCTTCATATGCTTACGGTCCATTTTAGATATTTCTCTAAAGTCAACGCACAAACTTTGTAATAGACAATTAATAGAATTAACATTTTTAAAATTTTCAGTATAACGTAGAGAGCAACATCGATATTCTTATAATGAAAATAAAAAAATATATATTTGAAAGCGCTATAGCAGCGCCAATGTGTGCTTTCAGTGTACTAGCATTACTATTATTAGATTTGGACTGTCCGTATATAATAATATATAAGAGTTTTGAAATTTTGAAATTTTAAGAAGCCTGCCTGTAAGTATGAATAAAGTAGAGTATAGTAAACTTGTCAAAGTAAACGAAATTAGATTCAATTTTATTTCTACACCGTACTAATTAAACTATCTAAAATAGTTCTTTATGAAGCTAATAATGGATGGCTAAAATAATCAAAGAAAGTTATCACACTCTCACTCGAGAACATATTGACTCTCGGCTCTATTTCGTCAACTACATACTTCCGTGGACACAGAACTTGAGTTGAAATTAATTTTCTTTTAGTGGTAATCATTTTCTTTTTCTATTATGTTGTAGTGGCCATTCAGATCCATTTTTTCAATGATAAATCATTTTTATTAATTGTTAAACTTAAATAACAATGAAGTTTGTTGAAGGTTCTTTGTATATTAGCATAAGAACTGGAGGTCCATTTGTAATAACTCTCCAGCCTTTGCCAACTACAACTCATTTCCATCTATAAACAGAAATTATTCTAGCTCATAACATTTGCTAAAGGAAGTAGCTCATTGTCATACAATTAAAGAACAAGTTACTGTTAAAGCATGGAAGTCATTCTCTACCCATCTATGAACTAAATATTCAGCTTACTTTGTGTGTGATAACTTATTTACCATTCAGTTGGAAACAACTATAAAACAATATCGAGTAAAATCAAAAAAATTGGGCAAAACTTACTTTAGCTCTGCAATTTGTTTACACATATGTCCAGACTATCTATCAAAGTGTAGTCTGCTTTAAAATTGATGCAAAGTAATGTAATTTAATTGTAAACTAATTTTTTTCTGATTATTCAGTCAATTTATTAATC